GGGAGTGACAGAGACCCTGGACTGCAGAGATCATCTGAGAGCCTGCTCCAACCCCCGGGCAGTGGACACCTTCTTTGGGCCCATCTATAGCTGCCAGTGTAAAGAGCAACCCACAGGTGACATTGCGTGCTGTTGATGTTTATTTTGATTGTTGACATCATAGTCAGTGGTTTTTAACATCAGAACCGCCTGGAAACGTTGAGGAACAAAAACCTCTGGGGTCGCCCGGTTTCCAATGTGGTGAGACTGGGACCCGAGATGATGCACTGGACAGGTCCCCATGGAGACTGTGGGTCCAGAGGCTACAGGAAACCACTGCTGTGTGCTATGAGGCATGTTCCTGTCGGTCATGAAGAATTCCTCCTTGCAGATGCAGGGAGCTCAAGTTGTCACCTGGCACACAACCCACCTATCCTGGCTGCACTGATCTGCACAGATTCTTGCAGCCCTGACGAGCACAACGCATCAGCAAGAGACACAGGGGAGCCGGGTGGTGGGGAGAAGGCACCTGCTGGTTTATCTTGTAGGTCTTCAGTTGTAGAGAAAGCAGAGGACACCACAGGGTGGCCTTTTGTGCATAGGGAAGAAGCATGAGTCGGGTGAGGCCTTCCACGATCATGTCCTGTCTGCAGTGTGGCTGGACCTGGTCATGAGTGGATGGGGGTCCTGGGGACACCCAGAGTCCTCCTTCTGAAGTTCAGGATTCACCCCATGAGGAGCAGGGGGGAGCTCTTATTTTGTCAGGTAGAAGGTGGATGAGCTTGGGGGTCCTTTGGGTCAGCAGTAAGTGGCTATTTAAGACCCTTTCTTGTTGTTTGTTTGCATACTGAGTCTCACACCACAGGTGCACAGAACTGGGCTGATGGGACCAAGGCGACCCCCCCCCCAACCCAGGCTTACCTGGCCCTCATCTGGCCCTGTGCACAACCTGTCCTGGTGGGAGTTGTCCTCCCGTGGTGGTACCCACATAGGACCACCCCCTTATACCATGCTTGTGTCACACACCTGGGTGTCCACCAGCCACAGGGATGCTGCAGGGAGACAGTGCCTTGGCCACAGAATGCTATTTTATTCTGCATTTTTCCTTCTCTAATCTACTTTAGGTCCCCATGTTTACAGGTGCACATCTGATTTATTC